ATATCCATTACTCATGGTAGAACCACGCATGGTAGCAATAAAGATGTTCGATTTCTTCTTTTGAAGGATCGTTATTTCAACCTTTCCATCGTATACCAACCTTAATTCCTTTGTTATTAGACAAATTCGATTTCTCCGGCACCGTATGCCTAATCTACCTACTATAAGGTTGAACATTTGAGCATTTTAATCTAGGTTCCTACGCCATTCTTGACAGGGAGCACTCTATCCTAGCGCATATGGAAGGCGAATCAGGAATCAAAGTTCCAAATCAAAATTCAGTACTCTCGCAATTCAGTCCTCCTCTTCGTTACTCTCATTTTTCTACCCTTAGCCCACTTCTACCAGGTACCTTCTCTTGTTGGATACTGATATCCAAACTTTTGTAAGAAAAGTAGCACAAAACAATATAATGGACGGACAGCTTTGATTTTGCAGTAATACAAATTTTGCCTTGGTATGTAAAGAAAAGTTTCATTGCGAAGTGTCTCCCTGAACGGCAGTCTCAGGCACAGTCGCTCCGCGGGAGAGTCCCAGCATTCTGCACAGCAAGACTTTGGCAAGTTGCCATGATTCAACCAGTATTATCAATTTTCCTTGCTTTGCGCTTTCTTCCACCTTCCTTGTTTTTTCTTGCTGACAATTTCTCGATGGGACGTGGCAGAACGCCAAAGCTCCGCCATCGCAAAGTGGCGCAGTTTTGCAGCTCGATTGCGCAACTTAAGGTTCAGTAAAGACCACTCCTGACTGAAACAGTTTGTCCGTATGCCATGAACAATACATCTCGCAACTATACGAACACAGTTACATTTTTCAGGGCTTGACTGATTTGGTTTTGACTGATTTTCTAATGAAGACGAAACAATATTGCACAATAATAACGAATTTCAATGGCAAATACTTACCTTCAATGCCTTATTAGAGTGCATAATCTTTGCTAAACAGGAAATCCATAAACACGTTGAACTTATTGTATTAAAGATTTATTAAAGCCATTATGATAGAATCTACTCTGTTTTTGGCCAGCTGACCTATTTCGCGACGCCCTCCTGCTCCACTATATAACTCTTCTGCTGAATGCTGCCAAATTTTGCATCCTCCCGATGGCTTCGTTGGTGACTACAAAATTACATTGCCTGTCTAGGAGCAGGAACGAAACGGGGTCATACCTTTACTCATCTACAAATTATGCAGGTTCGCAAATCAAAACATAATTGCATATGTCACCAAAAGCACATTACTGAGATATCTGTCCGAATGGGTGATGGCTGGAGGTATTTTGAAAGGGTGGCACTTACTGATCGATCTGTGAGTTGGGGGGAGGGCTGTGTCCGTTAGCGCGTTGGTAGCAAATGTCGAAAGCAAACCCCTGCAAGTTTATGCATTTTCCTCTCAACGTTCCTTTTTTGGCCATGAAGAGATATTCTCTGATAGTTTTGCTTGGGGAGAAAGCGCAGCAGGAGCTAGCCTGCTACGCCGCCACAGACGACAGAAGGACATTAAGAACTCTGGAATGGATCCATCGCGAAAAACGTCCTCGAGAGAGGCCACCAACCAGATGGGCTAACGTGTTCGTGGCAGATGGACTAGCTGAAATCTCAGCTGGTAACGAGTAATGGATCTGGACCTCGCGAGCGTCGCCGCCGCAATTTAATACCAACATCATGGATGACGCTAGCAAGAGACAGAAAAGGATGGAAACTATGCTGTGACCTGCACGACGAGTGAAGACAGGCCATCTATCTAAGTAAGTAGGTATTACAATGCAAATAGTTTTCAATTTGAATATTGATCATTTTCGCAATCTTCTTCCCTGCATTCGGCGGAGGACTTGCAAATAGGTGCAAGAGATCGTTTTTTCCACATCAAACAAATCTTTCTTAATGGCACACAAACATTCTAAAGAGACTTTATAGTTATAGGACATTTCACCCCCTCCCCCTCCCCGGTCAAGACCCTATTCATCTAAAGAGGTAAAGCTTGGCTTTAACCCCTTCACTCAAAGAGGTCTTGTCAGACCAGTGTTCATCTTGTCGCACGTATGGGATCGCCCGCGTCTCGTCTTAACCTTTGTCGACTATGAGAAGGCGTTCGAAAGCGTCGAGACTGATGCCATACTGTCAGCTCTCGTCGGCCAGATCGTAGACCCATCTTACTTGAGGACATTGGCCGACCGCTACAAGAGCTCCACATCAGCTTTTCCATCGCTCCCATAGCGTACCAATTTTAGAGGGGGGACCCACAACGCTAAACTGTGTCGCCAAAGCTGCTTACCGCCGCGTTGCAGTTGGTGATGAAAGCACTGGGTTGGAACGAGAGAAATGTACGGACAAAAGCGAAATTCCTCTCGTTTTGCGGACAACATTGATTTCGTTTTGAGAATCATCACTGGCGGAGACGCTAAGGAAAGAGCTAAACGAGGTAGGGAAGCGGATAGGACTGCGTATCAATCGAAGAAGTCTTAGTTCGAAGAACGCTTTTTGCTGGTTCAAAGAATG